TTGCCCGACTGAATTCATCATCAACCTATCCATTTTATCCAGTGCTTATTTTTAATTCTTTTTTTTTTTTTTTTTCCTGTGGTGCTGGAGAGTGAACCCAAGGCCTTGTGCATGCAGGGGAAACATTCTACCAACTGAGCTTTTTTTCCCCAGCCTGCCAGTGCTTATATTTATTTTTATTTTTTAAAATATTTTTTAGCCCAAAATGCCCAACAGATACTGGGCATGATGAACACAATAACTCTATTTTATTTATTTATTTTTATGTGATGCTGAGGATCAAACCCAATGCCTAAACATGTGCCAGGCAAGCGCTCTACCACTGAGCTACAACCCCAGCCCACCATACTTATTTTTAAATACATTATTGCTTCCCAAGAGAAAGCATTTGCTCCTCATATTGAAAAGTACTTGGTAGTTTGCAAGGAATCATTTTAATAAGTCTGAATTAAATAGAGAAAACATATTACTGATGTTGCTTTACACATACAGGAAATGAGAAGTATTAGTCTTACTTGAGGTCTAAAGCAAGAACCTAAACCTAGGTCTTTTCATACTTAGGCCTCACCCACTCCCCAGGGAGGCAGTAAAGCTGAGTGGCTAAGAGTGAGGTGATTGAACTCACACTAATGAGGTAATAATCTCAGTTCTATCACTTATTATTGTGAGCTGACACTGGTACTTAGCCTCTGTGCCTCAATTTCCTCATCTATAAAAGAGAATAAGAGCAGCCATCACATGATCTCACAAGGCTCAACTGAATAAACGTTTAAAATTTTGGTGTTGAGTACACAGTAATCCTTTGAAAAATGTTTTGTCATCATTACTGTGTGTGGTGGTTTTCTGTGAGCCTATCTAATATCAGAACCACAAAACAAGGATCACTGTAACATGACAGAAGGTACAAGGTTCAAATCCTGCTTTGTTATGTAATAATGGGAAGGATTTTTTTTTTTTTTAAATGTCTTAATTCCAACTGAAATAGACCAGGAGAGGCACTGCTACAGGCCTTGAAGAAGCAAACTGTCATGTGTGACCAGCTTATGTAGAAGTCTGTGTGGCAGAGCTGTGGCAGCCTCCGGACCTGGGAGTGGCCTCCAGCCAATAAAATGTGGGGCCTTCAGCTGATTCTGCCAAGAGCATGAATGAGCTCGGAAGCAGCTCCTTCCCCATCCGAGCCTCCTGAGGAGAACACAGCCTAGCTGATGCTGACTGCAGCCTCCTCCAGCCCCCAGAAGGGGGTCTCCAGGTTCCCACTTACACATGACACATGTTTAGGGTCCTAACCCACAGAATCTGTGAGATAACAAATGTGTATCATTAAAAAAAAAAAAAAAACCCAGAGCAAATATTCTATAAATGAGAGGATAGAAAATATCACCCTTCATTCTCCTGTGCTAACCCAGTGATATTCTGGACATTCCCCTAGCCTTACTTCATACATATGACTTACTGTAGTGAACAGAAGTACATATAAAATCCACAGCCTAAATTTTTAACTTATATTATACCCATTCTCCTGTATTAGTACACATATTATTCATATTTATTATTTTTAACAGATGCCAAATCTTCTATCAAGAAGGTAGAGCAAAATTATTTAAGCAGTCAACTGCTGTTGCTTCCACTATACTACTATTATAAATAAAACTCTACTGTCAATACTTGCATGTCTGTGTGTTTACTTTTTAAACTCTGTTTTGGATTAGTCCCTAAAAGGAGGCAATCAGGAAAAAAAAAATTATACATCTCTAAAGAAAACATGTCTCTCTAAGCCAACTTTTAAATGATACCAGAAATAAAGTGCTAATTTCATCACATTCTTTTTAGTACTAGATACTTTAAATTTTTTTAAAAAGTGGTACTTTGCTCTAATAACTAAAGAACATTTCTTTTGTTTCTAGAGCAAATTTACATACACATTTTACATGACTATTTGTTTCAACTTACTGCTTCCTCTTAAAAATTATCTATGCTTAACCTTTCTAAGAGACTGTCTTTATCTATAAAGTACAGATAATATGCACTATACACTATTGCTGTGAAAATCAAACACAATTATTACCTAAGTAAAAATATTTATGAAGCCTGGTTCATAGAAGTTGCTCAATTTTTAGTTAAATAAATAAATCAACAGATAAGTGGTCAGCTGCGAAGAGCTACACAACAGCAATATCAATTTCAGATTTGTGTGGAACTTAGGCCCCAAACTACTAATGAGGAGATAGTGAAATTTTCTAGGTTGCATCTAAAAGATGTCATGTTGATTGAAAAAGGTGGACAATGTCCTTCCCATGCCTTTCCCATAAGCATCCACCTACCCTATAGGTAGAGGACAGGAAGAGCCGTCACAGTGTGGCACCACCTCACCAAGTGGAGATGTGAAAACAGTTCTGTGCACACCTCTCTATGCCCCTTTCCCTGTTTCCCTCCCCAACACTGAGGATTCCTTAGAGGGAAAACTCCACCTCTGATGATAACAATATCCTCAGTTTCCGTACCAAAGACAATACCAGATGTCCTCCTATCACTGGAGAGGAAAACCATCCTATACGTGATCGAAAGAGAAACTACTATGAAAAACATTTAATAAGTTACAAATTGCTATGAAAGGCATCATTGTATCTCCTTAGTGGGTGGGAATACCACAAAAGTAGTTTAGTTTAGAACTTATAAATCTAAGTTAAATTAGCTCTATTATAAACCTATACGGGATGTGAACTTGGTCCTAGATTTCTGTTCCTGATGAAATATCTCACAGTTCTTACAAACAGAACTGTTTGCAGCCAGAATGCAAATAATTTTATTTTTCTATTGTCCAGAATCTATTCTGAGAATATCCACAACAGGTTTGACAAAATTGAAGAAAATAAGTAAACATCATGAGTGAAATGCATTCTTCCTGTGGACCAGGCGCATCAGTGTAAACCATCCCGTCTCTTTGATGCCAAGAACAGCTGTTTGAAGAAGAAACCTCCTCTTCCTCAGGTGGCTCTGATTGCATCACTTCATCATCAGCTGAGCCTCCACAAGTGGTTTATAATTTACTCAGTAAAAACAGATAGTCAAACATTGGTCAAGTCACCTGAATGGCATCCAGAAAGTTGTCCTTGCTTACAGCCACTGCACGTAGCTGGAAAAGTTATGTACAAATACCATGAGCCCTTATGAAAAGGAGAGCTGCCTCCAGAATGTGGTCAGTTTGCTTGTCCTTTAGAAAAAAACAGTCAGTCAGACCATAGGGATAAGCACTGAGAAACCAAATAAATGCCAATTTGAAAACTGAAGTCAATTTTATATGTTATAAGCATTTCTGTGTGCAACTTTTTGCGTAGAAGATGTTCTCAAAAGCCAATTTAGAAAGTACTAAATGAAAAATGTAAAACTTATCAACATAAAGGGTTTTTATGAGTCTAACAATGATGAGTATTCTTCATACTGAAGTTTCTATAAAGATTGCCCCTTCTATAACAGTATCAAGCTAGCTCAATTTTTCAAGGGGTAAAAAGCTTACATCAAAGATAGCCAGACTTCTCATTAAAATCTCTAGAAGTGTAAGAAGCTCAAATAATCATACCCAGAGTATTGCCATTGTGACCTAAGAGACTGCAGATTACGTGAAGAACCAGATGGAGGTAATTCTAGGACTGTGATTTTTCTTTCTTTCTTTTTTTTTTCAGTTGAAGGGAAGGATTAATTCTAAACATTCAAATGCCCAAATTTTCTTTCCAGTGCCATGGATGGAACCCAGGGCTTTGCACACACTAGGCAAGTGTCCTACCACTGAGTTATACCCCCAGACCTCAAATGCTCAATTTTAAAGTGTTTGCAATCACAGCATCAAACTGTTGCAATAATAAAGGCCCACAGAAATTACTAACCCAATCCCCCCATTTTACAGCAAGTAACAGAGCCCCAACTAAATTAACTGATGTGCTCAAAGTTTCATAATTACTGATATAAACTAGAGAGGCCAGAAAAGAGAATGGACATTAGGTCTGTCTGAGACGCTCAAGATCCCCCAGCCTCACTACGCCCTGCCCTTCTAATTATATGGAGAACTACATAAGTAACTGAAAGCAAGTGTGCATTTCTAGAAAAAAAAATCAGTACCTTCTTTATCCATCTACACCCCAGGCTCCACATTTCCTACTGCGAGAGCCCACTTTCCTAGCACTCAGCTGTGCTCACCAGAAGGACACACATAGCATTTAGAGGCAAGGCAAAAGCCATGGCTTTTGAATCCTCCTCTTCCTCTTCTTAGTTGGTTCTGGTGTCAGAAATGATGGACAATGGCAATAGATTCTTCCATGGGTCTTTATGATCACAAGGGGCATAAGACAGGATCCAGTTTTGCTTGAAATGCACATTTTCTGCTGATCAGTTATGGCTGTATGAATAACTGTTTTATGTGTCATCTATTTCATTTCCTCTCCACAAAAGCATGCAGAGTGTGTGTGCAAGTTTTGTTGCTACATGTGCTAGTGCTGGGGGGTGGTATATATGTGTGTATTGCAGCAGTTGCTGCCATTCAGAAATGAGTTCAAGGACTTCCAATACCCGCCCTTCTAAAGGTCACTCAGCAAGTGAGAGATACAATTTATTAACCTGATTTCCACACAAAAACAGCAATTAAAGAATTGATTTAAATGTAGCATCATTTTCTCTAAAGGTCCTTGAATGTGGGTCTGACTAATGTGGGGAAGAAAAAAATAAATCCCTGTGCACTTTTATCTTAGATGTTGAGTGCCACTGAAGTGTCCCTGACTGCTAATCAAGTGACAAAACCACTTCACAGTAATAGTTAAAGGAAAAAAGAGACTATTGAATGTTTCAAGAATCACAGCAACATGATACTTTTCCAAGCTTATGACACCTATGTAAACAGCATCATTGGGGGAAAAAAAAGTTTAAAATCAAAAGACTATCTAATTTCATTCTGGAATCAAGATATGTAATTCTATTTTTTTTTAAATGCTGTGCATAGGGAAATGGATTACCTTCCAGCATTTTCTGCAGACTGTTCCTCATGACATGGATGTTCTCTATCCCGATAAACTGAAACTTGATATTGGAATAATTGTCTTCATTCTCATAGCCTTTCCCTGCAGCACGATTTGCCATTGCATTAAGCTGCAGTGGTCAGCAAAACAGAATAGTTATCAATTATATTCAGGCCACGAAACAACCAAAACATTTTACAGATATTCATAAAAACATTCAAAATCATGTGCAGAAACATAATATGATATAAATCACTGGGACACTCTACTGAGCTATGTAGTTCCAGGGACTCACACTGAGCTTTTATTTCAACAGCATGAATTTGTTGGCATGCACAACATTTTCTTAGCTGGGAAGCATTCTATAGATAAACCCTCCTGGAGATGCCTCTTGCAGTTTACTGTCAGAGGTGCCAAACTGAATGTGGAATTCTGTGATGGAGCCAAGTTGTTCCGATTTAATAACATATCTTACAACATACAGATTGGCAGAATATCAGCAGATACAGCTGTCAACATAATGCTCTATAAGTTACATTATGGTACCTTCCAATATGATACTGCAATAAACATGTTATCAAATGTCACATTCATTCTAATTTGCCAACAAGGATCCCCCAGATACCCAACTAAACCTTGAGCAGGAATCACTGAATAAAGTGAAAAGAGGAATGCAGACACTTGCCAGCCACTATTTAAATCCAGGCGCCTAATAAATGGGCTTTTCTCCCCTTTGTCACTTTCATTATCATAATTTTGCACACGAGAAGTTAGAGGTTTCTTAGTTCAAACTGATAATGGATTCTGAAGAAATTTATTAAGTCCAAAATCTCTCTGCCTAAGCTCTATGTAGTAAAATGAAGAAGGGGACAAGTCCTGCCTTGTCCTGGGAAATGCATCCATTTCTAGATGGACATGCGTCTGCTAATACTCCACTGTTGCTGTTGGCCTAAGCAGACTGTGACATCTTCAGAAACATTTTCACTGACTCTTCTGCTCACCCCACAAAGGGCAGCAGGGATAGCCCAGGGAGAGAACCTATGCCAAGATCACACTATCACAAAAAAAATGATCACTTTTAAGAGCATGATGCAAAGCAATACTTTCAAAAAAGTAAATTAAGTTAAAAACACATATATTCTTTGACCCAGATCTCCTACTTCTGATAATCTGACAAAATTTCAAAAGTACCAGCACATAATGACAATGTTTAAGAATGTTTATTATAATATTTTTATAATAGTGAAAGACTTAAAACCCATTAATTCCTCAATAGAGCAATGACTGGATAAATTACAGTTTACTTTTACCCTAGACTACTATCAGGTGTCAAGAAGGATACATGTTTGTGTGTGTGTGTATATATATATATATGTGTGTGTGTGTGTGTGTGTGTGTGAGGGTGTAATTCATATAATTATCCATTTCTAATAAAAGCAAATTTACAGATATGCATTTATGTTTATGCATATTTATTAAGCAAAATAAAATATATGGAAGAATATGCTGATCTGGCAACCATTATAGCACAAAGACAGAGGGTGGAAAGTGGCAGGGAAACACCATTTATAAACCTTAGATACTCCTGTATTCCTTCACTATTACAAAGAACATACATTAACTTTGTAATTTAAATAACAAATATAAATGTATCAAAGTTTAAAAATAAAACAGCGAAGGTAAGCCACTGCCATAGAGGTTCCCAGGCTCCCATTTCCTTTTTTTTTTTTTTTGGTATGGGGATTGAACCCAGGGGTGCTTAACCACTGGACCACACCTCCAGCCCATTTTATATTTTATTTAGAGATAGGGTCTTTCTAAGTTGCTTAGAGCCTCAACAAGTTGCTAAGGCTGCTCTGAACTCATGAACTTCCTGCCTCAGCCTCCTGAGCCTCTGGAATTACAGGTATGTGCTACCATGCCAGACCCAGGGACTCCCATCTCAATAGCAGCCTGGCTCCATGATTCAGTTCATGTGGCATCAGTTCATTGGGGGAATGTCAGTACCTTGGGGCACTGTTCCCTGTCTAAAAAGGAGTCACCTTTCCCCTAATAAAACAGGCTTTAGGCTTAATCAAGGAAACACCTCAATCATATATCTTAAAGACAACTTATGTTTATTTTTTTTAATTTTAAATATTTTAAGGGAATTTTTAAAAAAAAATTACTTATAGGCATGTTCTTCTAAAACTATGCATTATAAAATGTCACTGCTTTATATAAGCGTTTTTCAGAGCTGCTGGTTTATCCCTTACAACAAGCTTCATAAAACAGAACAAATTAATAAGATACTTGCAAGTATCCTTATGTTACATGAACCTTGTGTTTATCCTGTTTCTTGAATAATTCAAGTTAAGCCTGCTCAACACATACCACAGAGACACTCTTTCAAAAAAGTGAAATAAAATACTATTGCTATTATTTTAATCTATAATTGATTCCATGTTCACATTTTTTTAATATTTATTTTTTAGTTATAGTTGGACACAATACTTTTATGTCACTTATTTATTTTTTTATGTGGTGCTGAGGATCGAATCCAAGGTCTCACATGTGCAAGGTGAGCGCTCTACCTCTGAGCCACAACCCCAGTCCCTCCATGTTTTTAAACCATCAATTATAGATGGTGGGAGAATTGATTGGTAGTCTTCCTTAAAAACAAAGGAGCAAACACAGGGAAATCTTGGGAGCAAGTGTGTATTTCACATAATGAACAGAAGGTGGCAATATTTAATCTACCATCCCAAGTGTAATTTTTGTCAGGAGTTTCACCTACTTACAGGATCTATAACCATAATGTGACAAAAGCTGAAACCCCAAAGCAGGAAACACAGTTTTACAATTTGAAAATATTCAAAAAGTTACCCTAGTATTTATATATATATGTATATGGAAAATATGCTGTTTGATGATAACAGCATAAAGGGTGCACAGAAGCTCATAAATCAAACAAAAGAAACTTGGTTGTTTCTCAATGAACTGTGTGCCAGGCACTGAGTACAATGATAAGATGCACAAGAATCTACTTCTGCTGTCCCGAGCTTACAATTGCGATGGAAAGGAGAGCACAGAGTATCAAAAGATAACAGACAATCCCCCGAGTGAACGGCAGAGACAGCGACACCGCAGGAGTTCGAGTCCAGAGCAACCCAGTGTGGGCTACTGTTTCATGAGAGTGGAAGCTCAGGCTGGACTTCAAGCACAGAGGAGGACCTTCAAGATGAAGCAAGAGGAGGAGAGGTACAGGGACAGGGGCAGGTCAGTATCAGTGAGCCATCCATTCCGAGTGGAGCAGAAGTTCATCTATGGCAGCAGAAGCAAGAGAGGAAGCTCAAAAGCATTTAGGGTACTCTGCAAATAGACTCACTTAAGAAATTTAAATTTTTAACCGAGATAGCAGAGAATGACTGAGGAATTTCTTAGCGTGCTTAAATAGAAAAAAAAAAAATGAGATTTATTTAGTGTCCACAACAGAGAATATCCACCAGAATGAGAAGAGAGTGGAGCAGGCAGGCACCGAAACATTCAGTGGTGAATGAGAGGAGGGGTAGAGAACATAAGCCCCATGGAGACCTGTCAGGCTCACTGATGGTCATATCCCTGCACCTCATTTAGGGCCATACCCCTACTACACAGAACGGGAACTTCATGAAGATTGATTGACTGACTGATTAACTGGATAAGTGATTGAATAACAGAATGAAGTAAGAGATGAGTAGACCAAGACTGTAAAGAAACAACGTCAGATTCACCCCCAACCCTCAATCAATCAAACCTCTGAAAACACAAGAGTTCATCTTGATCTCAAGTTAAAGGGCAGGCTGGTCACTATCTTAGGCTTGGAGTGTAAGATTTCAGCAGTTACATTTTATGCCTAAGTAACAACGGGTCCTCATCTGGCATAGTTGGGAAACGACAACAAACGCTGATCTCATAGGAGGAGGACTGGGCCATGCCCTGGTGTTTGTCCGGTGATGGTCCTTTTCCCTTCCTCCATCCATAACTGGTTCAGTGAAGAACCTTAGCTTGCAGCACAATGTGAAATTATGAGAAGATTTTATTTCTTACAACTACTGTCTCCAACTGAGCTGGTCAAAATTCCTCCTTTCCTACTTTGTAAGTAGATATCAGCTTGAGGGACATATTCAGATAGGAACCCAGGTATAATGCAAATAATCTCCCTCCCCCATTCTGGGCTGTGTGGACCAGTGAGAGCTTTGCTTTGGGACACCCTCCCTCCTCTCGCTCATCTAGGTTCTGTTAGTGTCGGGCAGCAGTGGTGAACAGCTCTTTGCAAAGCTAGGCAAGGTTGTGATTCTGTCTCTGTTTCCTGGATCACACTGAATGACCATCTCTGTGAATCTGCTAGGGCATGTGATGTGGGTTCTTGGAAGAGGAAGTTCACATGTCACTGACATGGAGATCCACTCTGGTGTGAGCCTGTTCCCTCAGCCTCCCTTGCCAGAAGATATCCCACAGTCACATGCAGCTAGAGACCCCCAGCAGGCAAGCTCTCTGAGGAAGGTTCTAGTAAGATAATTCATGTCCAGCTCGACTCACAGGAAATTTGCCCTAACAGAGAGCAGGAATGTGAACTGCTCCACTGCCCCACACCCTGTCTCCCTCCCATTCTCTCTTCCTCTGCTTGCTGCCAGGATGGCCCTCAGCAAACACGATGTACATCTGATTATGAAATGAGATCCTAGATTCCCCTCTTTCTGGCAACCCTAATCTTTACAACTGAATTTCCCAAATCCAGTGAGTAGATAATGCCACCTAATCACCAATTCCAGAGAAAAAGAAAAACATCCCACGTGGCATCATGTCACGCCATAGGAAATCGTTGAGAAGGTGAAATTGGAGACCACACCCACAAAACAGTCTCTGGAGGTGCAACAAGGACAAAAGGCAGAGCACCAACTGAAGCCAGTGCCTGGCTCAGCACTTCCTCCACAGGGGCTGGTGTTCAAAGTACAGCTCAGAAACCTTTTTGCTTCTCTGGCCTTGGCCTGACTTTGGGTGAACTAATGGTTAGTTCTTCAGGTCTGAGTCTGCAGCTTCACTTGGTGTGTGCTCAGAAGTAACAATCCTCCTGAACCCTAACATGGGGATGAGGTTCCCCCGGGAAAGATTTTGTATACACACACACACACAGCGAAACAAAAAAAAAAAAAAACCCACAAACCACCATGAACAGACAGGCCTGGATTTCAATCTGAATTTTGTGTGACCTTAGGTAAATTTGGACCTAAGCCCTTACCTACGAAATGAAAAATCTCCTAATTTGCAGGGTTCTCATGTTAAATGCGAAAGCACCTGGCAGTTTTTAAAAGCTCAGCAAAATCCAGAACATGAGAATGGTATGAACAAGGTTGAGATATAATGAGTTATCCCTCATTTTACAATCCAGCAAATACCGCATCAACGCCTTTGCAAATTTTCCTCATGCACCAAACTCTAGTGGTAATATGTGACCTCGAGGACATAATTTTTGAGGAGATATTCAATACGTGCTTGAGGACTTCACTACCTTTGCCTCCCATGATTGTATTGTCAATAAGCAATTTAGAAGGCTTTCACCTGAACAAGCTGCTCTGGAGGCTGTCCTATGGGGCTAGCCTTGCCCAAAGGACCTGACTCCTTCAGGCTGCCTCCAAAGCCTTTCTCTTTTTAATCAAACCTGTAAGCAACTTTAGGAAGTACCAGGTTTGCCACTGTCCACACCTTCTATGACTAACATGAACTCAGTCTCCCGGCTACCAAGGGAGCCTAACACACTCTGGAACAAAAATCAACATACACGATCTCTAAAATAATGAAAGCAGGAAGCAAACAGTTTAAAAATCATGTGAAGTGTGTGTGCAGGGATAAATACAAGAAGAGGGCCACCAATTTTCTTTAATGGATCAGTGTTGAACCACTTATCTCTTAGAGTAAACACACTAAGTGCTAAATATACCCTTCAAATCAAATCCTTTGGATTAATTTGTTTTAAATCTGGAATATGCCCGGCCCTACAGCTGCTACATTCTAGGGAAGGCTTACATAACACAGTGCAAACTTGCATCACTGGCTCTTAAATTAGCAGGTGAATCTGTCTGCCTTTATTTGAAGCTGGAAAAACAGGATAGGAAAAGGGCTTTCCAGTCTCTACTCAGTTAAAGCCCTGGTCTTCAGTATGTGTGTTGAAGAAGCAGGCATTCATTCATTCATCCTCTGTAACTACTAGGAAATTCAGAAGACCTCCACTTTACTTAGGGAAGGCAGTCAGCATTTGCAGGAAGGGGTTAAAGCGTGAGTCAGAGAGAAGGTCACAAACTGAAGGAGAACAGTACAAGTCAGAGATTTTTCTGGCAACTATCAAGTGAAAATCGTTAAGCTGAAAAGCTATTTTTTGTTTCTAGTTTGAAGCTTTTGCCTATGTGTTGTGCTTTGAGAGTGTATCTAAAAAGAAGGGATCTGGATGTGTAATCTACTAGAATGTGACTATGACCTGGCCGTAGCATGTTTCATGGCTGGTTTCCACGATTGATTTGCTGATCTGACATCTGAGAACAACTCCACCCTTACTACTCCACATGGCTATTCCATAGCACACTCTGATCAGAAACAGAATGGACTGTTCTGAGGCCAAGGGCCTGAGGAGAACACTGACATTACATGAGGAAAACATTACATTAAGTGATGGAGGAAATGAATCACAATATTTTTTAAAATGAGGCTCAGAGAAGCAGTGAAAATTACCAGGGTCTGAGTATCCACAAAAAGATCACATCCCATTCTCATTTTTTTTTCTCAAATTTCCACTGAGTACAGACTATAAATACTTATTTTTGATAATGTATGCTTCGAGTGACTGAAGATGTGGGTCCTATTTTTCTGTTCTTTTTTTGATGCTCTTTTTATTTTCTTGTGTTCCCCACCACCGCCAGCTGGTACTAGGGATTGAACCCAGGGCTTTGTGGGTACTAAGCAAATATTCTCCACTGAGCTATACTCAGCCCCTTTATGTTCATTTCTTAACAATTCACTGACTTATAATTCACATGCCATTGAATTCACCCATTGAAAGTGCAACTCAATGGCGTTTGGTATAGTCACATAGTTGTGCAACCATCACCATAATCTAATTTTAGAATATTTCCATCACCTCAAAGAACAATCTTCTTCACATTAGCAGTTGCCCCCCTCACATACCATTTCCTCCCATCCCCCCAGCCAAGGCAATAATCAGTTTATTTTCTATCACTGTGAATTCCCTGGGACATTTTATATAAATGGAACCTCCCAGTTGGGTGTCCTTTGGCATAGACTTCTTTCACTTAACAGCATTTTCAAGGTTCATCATATTGCAGTGTATCACCCCTTTTATAGCTGAATAATATTCCACTGAATGGATATACCACATTTTATAAATCCATTCTCAGTGGATTTATATTTTAGTGAATATTTATTTATTTCCACTTTTTGGGGGGTCTTATTAATAATGAATAAACATTCAAATACTAGTTTTATGTGGACATGTTTTTGTTTCTCTTAGGTATATATCTAGGAATGGAATTGCTGGTCACATTGTAATTCTATAACATTGAAGGTCCTTATGCTCTTTAAGCCTTTTTATGATGAAAAGAACTCCAACAGTAATTTTTTTTTCCTAATTTAAAAAGTAAAAAATTCTTAACATTCACCTCTCACCAACTACAGGTTTTGATATACACTTCCCCCCTCAGTTTTTTTATTTCCCAGTGGGATTATATTACACATCGTTCCTGCATCCTACTCTTGTTTAATGGTACCTGTTAGACTCCTTTCCTTTCCATACCCACATGGAGAGAAAGAGCTGCATGTGTATCTTCACTCTCATCAGTCATAGGTCCAGATGTATTTCATTATTGGATAGAAACTACAATGGGAAATATATCGAATAAAGGACATTTCATTCTGTCATCTCACTCCATGCAATACATTCACTGTACTTAGAGGTGATTCGTTTCTTTGTTTTCACTGGCATATCCCTCTGGGGACTCCGTTTTTTGACTGATTTTTTAAAAACTGGGTCTAAGGAGCTTAACTGGAAAACTGTACTGTACTCAGTTCTGTGCTTTTAAAAAAGTGAAGTTGAATGGGAGGGAAGTGAAAGATCACCTTGGCCTGCCCCTAGCTCTGTTATTTCCTACTGGAAGTTTCATCAAACTAGAAGATTAATACATAGGTAATTAAAAAATAACATTTTTCTAACAGACAAGTAAAAAGTTCTCTACCTCCCCAAAGCCTCCTTTCTCCATGGAATTTTAATAGCTTGCTATTTATCCTTCCAGATCTTACTCTATATACTTTTACATATGTACAGGTTTTTTACATAAATATAATAGTATACATATTATTTTGTGACTTTTTTAAACTTAACATTATATTTTGTAGCTCTTTCCAAATCATAGGTATAGATCACCACAAGTAGAATCTGAAAGCGTGTATCTGAATGCCTCACAAAAATTGAACTGCTGGAGCTCCACAGTAAACTTCTTATTGTCAGAGCAGAAAGAGGTGTTTTAGGAAAAAATCAAATGGTCCCTGGGTGTATTTAGGAGGGCAATTTCTAAAACTGAGCCAGCCTCATTTAATGTGCTCACAAAGCTAGGAGCAGGGGAAACAGAAAATGTGCTTGACACAGTCAGCCCTTCAGGAGCTTAGGCCCTCAGAAAGCAGCCCAGCAGGGCACCTGAGTACTGACCATGCAAAGACGAACAGCCCCTGGGCAGACCCAGCAGTGTAGACTGTCAGCTCTACCTGGACTCTGGCTGCCCACCGCAGAGCCGCATAGAGGCATTGGAATGGTGCCACTTACTTTAGGCCGAGTGTCCACAACGTAAATGAAGTCACTTCCTGGATTGGCTTTCCTGATGGCCTGGAGCATCTGCTCATCCTCCAGGCACCGTGCACTAAAGCCGGACAGGGGCTGGCTGCTCCGGCAGATGGAGGCCTGCGGGGAGAGCCACAGAGACACAGCAACATCAGGCAACTGCACCCAGAAGACTCTGGGAGTATCTCCCAAACAGAGACCCCTGGGTTCACCTACACCACACACCCGCTTATGAAAATAAGGTAACACTGTCTCTGGAAATCAAGATTTTTTAAATTTTTAATTCAGGTCAAAGAAACCACTTCATGTGCAAACAGTACAAAAACTCTTTGTGTAAGATATCAGGAATGTGTAAAGATGTTTAGATAAGATCAAAATTATGAAATTTAAAGCCATTTAAATAACCTACTTTCCTTTTCACTGGTATTGTTTCATTTTCCTGCCAAAAGCAGAAATACAAAATAAATATTCTAAAACTTATAGGATAGAGCTAATGGCAAGACCAGTAAAAAAAAAAAAATTTAAAAATACATACGCACACACATAGCTTTGTGCATGTATTTTTAATGCTATGCTGCTGGTCATTTTTTCAACTAACCTATTTAAAAACATCACCAGTACTAAAAAGCAATTCTAATTCTAAATGGTAAATTTTCACTGTAATGAAAGTCCAGGTTGCTGCCAGGTTTGGTACCAGCTTGACACAAATCTGTGCTGACTCTAGTGTGCTTAGAATCAAGGGGCTACTTTGGCATCAATCTGCATTCTTTACTGCACTGTCCTTACCCTGCAATTCTAACACGGTACATCAGCCTTCCATATTCATAGATCCCACATTAGTGGATCAAAATATTCAGGAAAAAATTGTGCCTGTACTAAATAAGTTCAGACTTTCTTTGGTCATTATAACAATATAGCATAATAACTACTTACAAAGTATTCACATTGCACTGGGTATTTTAAATGATCTAAAGAATATATTGCACAGGAGGATGCACTCAGGTCATACACAAAAACATGCTATTTTTGTATCATCAGACTCTGGTCTCTGAGGGGGATCCTTAAACCATTCCCCATTCAGGGATGGCAGTATACTGCAATGTTAAATGACATGTGGAAGAACACAAACCTACCCCTGAGTTGTGAATAAGTAAGTACAGATGAATATGCAGCTATAAAACATAAGGTTTTTTTACTTAAAAAATATTTTTTTAGTTGATAATAGACCTTTATTTTATTTATTTATATGTGGTACTTAGAATCGAACCCAGTGCCTCACACATGTTAGGCACTCTACCACTGAGCCAGAACTTCAGCCCAAAACCTATGGTTTTTTGGTAAAGTATCTTTTTGTAGATTTAAACTTTGCTTTAATGTTTAAATTAAATATATAAATCTCCCAATAAAATACATGAGTGACTCAAAGAACCTACCTTAAGTCTGCAATTCCCCTGGGTAGGAGGAGGCAGTAATCATGGTTGGTGAGAAGTGAACCCCTCCAGACAAGACTGAGAAGGGGAACCCCTTGTAGGAAATAGTCACCATGTGTCATTTCCTGCCCAACTGGCTTGATAATAGGGCTCCACCCATGGGAAGGTGCCCTTTCAGGGTCCAATTTCTAGCTTCCCAGTTCCTAAAGCCCAACTCAAGACAACTTGGCAAGGGCTTGCATTTCCCCAGAAGAATGTGGGCATCGGTACCCCTCAGTGGAGCAGGTAGGAACATTTCTCACCAGTCATAAACATCAAGAATCATAGACTGGCTAGACATATAGACATCTGAGGATGCCAGTTCCATTCTGAAGTAGAAAGGGACCATTACTGATGTGGTTTAAGGAAATTAGGACCTGGAGCTACACTCAGAATTCAGGAGGGCAGTGCATGGAAAATGGAAAACAAAGCAAAGGGGCAGCTGAGTCCCTTCCAAGACGTCTAGTTCTTGAATGTAGGGAGAGGAGAGGCCCAGAGGGTCTGAACATGGGAGAAGAGGACAGCAAACCAGGGCAAGACCCAGAAGCAAGGCAAAGAGAGACCAAAGGACACTGGGGAGCAAAGGACCAACAAATCGCCATAGATGGCTTGGCTTGGGGTCCGGCTTCCTTTCAGTAGTGGTCTTTATGGGGTCAGAGTCTGCCACCCTGCTCTGAGGGAATTCTGACTGGAGAGTGAATAATTCTGAGTTGGCTTCACAAGATATTTTATCTGGGTTAAAGAAATATTAGTTGAGGACGGCTAGCACCAGGTAACCTGTTAGATTCTATTAGAAGAGTTAAGCGAAGGGACCTTCTCTAAATGTAAGAATTGGTCTGTGAATGCACACACCTAAACTCACTAAGCCAGTGAGATTCCAACCATGAAATGAAGCAAATTAGTGACAACAACAGTTACCAATTACCTTCTGGGGCAGAGAAACTAGATTTAAATGAGGGGTTAATCGGAACAGTTATACTATGAAATGTGGCTAATACATTATAACAGACATGTTAAATGGACTTCATGCTAGTGTTTTTGTGGGTCATTTTCTGGACCTATGATGTGCTACAAAAAGAACTCCTCATTGACTCAGGGATTCCTCACATGCGGTTTTCAACTTTGTACCAAACAGTGAGTGTTTCTTCGTATCCTATAAACACTCTAGATAGTCGAGAGGTTAAGAAAGTATTACTAGGCCCTGGCAGCACTTCCTACAGGTGTCAAGGTCCTGAGAACAGAGGTTAAAACATCCCCAGTGGTATTATCAGGAAAGCTGCTTATTTACAAAGCTACTAATCATTAAAATCTACATGTTTTGAGTGCATATGTGGCAGGCACATGTTTAAGAACTTCACTTTTAATTTGGTGCCAACATACCTTATATACAAACAGAGATATAAAAATTGTGGTATATATGTGTATTAAGAATTGTAATGCAAAAAAAAAAGTACATGTATAGTGGCATAAATTGGCACGAACATACTTTATATACAGAGATATGAAAAATTGTGTTCTATATGCGTAATAAGGATTGTAACGCATTCCACTATTGTTGTGTATTTAAAAAATAAATTAATTTTAAAAAAAGAACTTCGTGTATTTTATTTAATCTTCTAATTATCATATATAGTAAGAGCTTTTATTATTTATAGATGAAGTGATGAAAGCACACAGAGGTTAAGGAACTTGTTCAAGATCACACAGTTAGTAATTAGTAAAACCATGATTTTCCTCCAGACAGTGTTTCCTGATCCTAAATTCTTACCCAAAAGTAGCACCCCCAGCAGAAAAATAAGCCAGATGGCCTAATACAGCATCAAGAGCAGCATTCAAGAAGATCTGGCTTTTAATCCTAGTTTTAGTCTCACTTACTATATGACCTTGGGTAATTTATGTATCTTTTCTAAATCTCAATTCTCGCATCTATAAAATAGTAATAAGATTAAAACCAAAGTGTGTGATAAAGTATACAACACTATAATACTCCTAGAATTGTGCCTATCACATAAGAGGTTTCAATGAATATTAGTGATAAAAAGAAAGGCTGTTTTTCTTAAGGAAATGTCCACTAGAAATCTTTAAGAGTTGTGTGTCCCAGAAATTTATGCTGGGAATTTAGAAAACCATGTGGTGCACAGTTTAAAGCAAACAACTCTCTTTTTTTAAAGATAATATAATAAGAAGAAAGAATGTACCAATTCTGAGAGCTCTTGATTACAAACATGCACAAAATTGTGAACACTTATACATCTCTGTCTGTGATCTGCAAAGCCATTTGATTCCAAAGGGAGTCCATGAGACTCTACCTAGCCCAGGTGTGGTATAAGCCCTAAAATTAACCTTATGAGTTGCCTTGACATCTGGTGAAACTGAGAGGTCCCCAATGCAAGCTCCCCTCAACAATCTGCTTCTATGGATAAACAATTCTCCTTATCTAGCAGGGTAGGGGCAGTTGATGTTCATCCCCGAGTATGGTGTTTCAGTTTCCCAGAAGACCACAGAATTATTCAAATAAGCCTGTCACAGATTCCTATAGGAGCCAGGGGTGACCTCATCAGGTTGATGCTACAAAGCCTGCCTCTCCCTGACCCTGCTTGTCCCTTGAACCCCAATGCAACCCCCATGTGGATCTTTGTGGCATGTGGTACCCTCCTCCCCTGGGCATTGAGTCCATGTGATCTCAAGCTGCTGTGGATCTACTATGTCCATTGTGAAGCGTCATGAGTTTGGCCATCCCATCACTCTAAGCCACCCTAGATTCACCAACAGGTGTGTAGGACATGATTACAACACTGTGTATGGCAATAGTGGATCTAAAGGGAATTAGGAACCAGCAGCAGGGGCATTTATATCAAAGGAACCTCAAAAGGTTCATAAAATGAGCATGGTTAGATCTGATTCCAAAGGGAGTCCATGAGGCTCAACCTAGCCCACTCATCTAACCACCAATTCCCACTGCCCAATGTTAGCCAAGTCATCTTACCATCAAAATGTCCCTTTAGTAATAGCCACCCCCCCCGGGGGGGGGTGCATTCCAGTATTTTAACTATAAAATTGTTATTCTTGTTTACAAGCACAACGTTCTATTGCTGGGGGGGAAACATAGTCTTAAACCTAAAAGGTCAAAATCACAAGAGAGAAAGATCAGTACACTTATAGAATTTGTATCCCCTAACTTTTTATGGAAGATGGCCTGTTCCATGTGTGGGTTTTGATGAGCAATGACAGCCAGAAGATTTCTCAGAGTGAGGATACTCAAAGGAACATGGTCATTAAAAGGGGGATGGAAAGAAAAGGAAAAAAATGTGTCGCAGACTTCAGGGGCTCTTCTAACATCAACATGCAAAGGTCCTCCAGCACTGGAACAGGCAGTCTCTCAAGAGGACTGCTTAGAGGAGGGTCAGAATCATAGAAGATTAAGCTCAGGTACTGTCTGAATCTAACCCATTACTTTATTGTCAAACACAGAGGTCCACTTCTATATGAGATGAAGGTCTTAGCATAGTTGCACTGAGTTATGCCATACCCAGGAAGAGCCACATACCTCTAAGAATTCAAACACACTGTGAACAGAGGGCAGCTAGAAAAAGGTCTGGTGATGATAAAACAGAAAAGCAACGTGTAAAACAAAAGCATGCCTCGGAGACTTACGTGGTTATCTTTATAGTAGTAAGAAAGGGCAGGAAATCGCCGTCTACTCCGGAATTTGGAACTCCCTACGATGATGTGTGCCGTGGCTGATTTGGGAACATACAGTTCAGTCGGGTAAGAGTCACAGACCTATCACCAGAAAATACAGAAGGATTTTTAGACAATTGAGTAATCTTTTCTAAACTGCCACCAGAAATTCCACTTCACCATACTTGTAGGTGGCATACGTTAAGTTTTTCAACCAAGTTACAGAGGAAGCTCTTTTGAGAAAACCAAAACACTTCCAAGTAATAAAGTGTCACTGATTCTTTGTGATGATTCTGACAATAAACAAGATACCCCTGAGCATCCTGTCCTTCTACACCGTCCCTGTTCTCCTGGGACCCTGTTTGTGAAGCAGTCCAGTAAAAATTGAGCATCCTGTCCATCAAAAAGGGACAAATTGTATTTTTGCCTCCTAACAGCTGAGAAAACTTAAGCCAGTAGTATTTGATTGAAAGACTGCCTGACACTGGGGACAATTTTCCTAAAATACAAGCACAGTAGCTGTCATCAGATTACGTTTGTGTCCCTGGCACAAAGGCTCGCATTCCTTTGCCCTCCCTGGATACTCCTGTCCTGCCTTCTCAAATCTCATCGATTCTTCCAGAGCCAAACCAAGTTCCAGTTCCCTTAGGGGGACTCCTCTCTGATCCTCCAGTTCATATAGACTTCTGAATCTGATTTCCCAATGTGCCACTCATTACCACACAATACACAGCTTTATTTATATTTGATTTTTATAAGTGTTGATTTGTAAGTGGTAAGAAATGATTTACTTTTTCTGGCAGGAATCATCACAGTGGAAACTCTCATACCTTAGAAGGATTTTGTAATTTGCTTCAGCACCTGGTTCTGATTTAGCAACTTTATGACCTTGGAGAAGCCAGACTACACTGAGCACTTTAGTTTTCTAATCTCTAAACCCAACACTGCAGCAATAATATCTCGAGGGGTTGATAAAATGATCAAATCAGATAGCACTCGTGACAAAGTACTTTATAAACTGTCACAGCTGACTGGAACGCCAGTGGGAGCAAGTTATAGCTGTTGCTCAACACATGTTTTGCTTTTGCATCAGTCTATCAATCTTTCTGCAATGTGTCAATTGCAGTTTCCTGGGCTTCATCAAGCAGCTGTTTATTTCCTTCCTAGGCAAATCAAGAGTTCTCAAGTAGGTGGAGTAATGAGGAAATACTTTATCTGCAGATCCTCTGTCCATCTCCACCCACCCTTACCACTCTGGAAGATGGAACTGAAGGGAGTGCAAGCCAACTACATCTGAGATCCAAGTCTCCTAAGCTCTTACAAATTGTTTCATCATGCTGCCCTCCCTTGCCTGCCTTTACCATCTTCATTACCAGACCAGTGGACAACATGGAGCAGGAGATAAAAGGGCCACAAAGGGTATGTCCACAGACCCAAAGCATAATTTTCGGATTCCCCCAAAGATATTTTAGGAAAGATTACCAAAGAGTTTACTGTGGGCTCTGGCACCAGCACTCTGGAGGAAACTCCTGTACCAAGAACAGATGGCCAAGCCTACTTGGACTGGGACAGCTAGAATGACTGCTGCAAGACACGGACTTCCGTCCCCATGCCAACCCAGTGTCTAAAGCCGCCTGAAGTCAGGCTGTTAGATCATTACTACATAGACCACTCCTGCTTGTCTGAGGTTCAAAAGACATGCAGTCATTACACCAGACAGACATTTTCTTAAAATAACAGTTTAAAAAAACAATAAGTAGGTTTTTCACTAAGTTGGGGATTACCTACTTTCTTCCTTACAACAACAATAAGGAATTGCAAAATTTTATGACTAAATGAAATAAGATTAAGTAGTAGGCAGTAGTTCTCAGCATACTTATTCAATATTGCTTCTGAATATCAAGAGGTGAGTAAAAAACTTTGAGGTTCCTCCCAGGTCCTTTGACGGGTCTCCCAAAGCCAGAAAATGCCCAGCTTGGCTCAGGTCATGGCCCTGGATGCACCACAGATGGAATGAGACCAAGAAAGAAGATAAACATCTGGAGCCCACTCTCCTTGACACTCTCAATCCAACTTAAGGACCATATTATTGTCTATGTGTGCACAGTCTTCTTTGTTTACCTGGGCACACAGACCCCTGCCCTCAGACTATCAGACCTCTCACTCTCCAAGACAGAAAAATGTAGACCTTCACAGCTTAGTGTGTGCAAAGGCCAAGAACTTAAGAACCTGAGCCCAGTCAATAGCAGCCAGGCTTGCACTGGCTGGCAGGATCTCCCCCTAGGAAGATGATAACCAGTTACAAAGTTTCCTCCTTTCCCCAGAGCACTGGGTCTCAGGAGAAAAACTCCATGGTACATACAGAACTTTCTGAAGAGTTTCTCATGGGGAGCTCTAACAAGTTAAAACACCTTTGAAAAAACTCAGACTCAGTGCCAGTTAAAAAATACAACTTCTCATAGAGCTGAAGAAAAGAAATTCATCCTGCTTTCATCAAAGTAGACAGCGCTAGCAAGTGCAAATTAAAGTAAAAATCCTACACTGAAAACTAAAAAACACTGATGGAACAAACTGAAGAGGACACAAATAAATGGAAAGGCATCCTATGTTCGTGGATGAGAAGACTTAATACAGTCAGAATGTCCATACTACCCGAAGCAACCCACAGATTTGAGGCAATCCCTATCAAAATCCCAAGAGTGTTTTTTGCAAAAGTAGAAAAATTCATCCAAAAATATGTATGAATTCTCAAAGGATTCCATATAGCCAAAACAATTTTAAAAAGAACAAAGTTGGAAGACTCATACTTCATAATTTCAAAGTATATTCCAAAGTCACATATATTTTATAGTAATCAAATAGTGATACTGGCCTAAACACAGACAAATAAATCAATGAGAAAAGAACTCAAAAACAAACCATCACACACAAATACATATTCCAGTTGACCCTCAGTAAGGTTGTCAAGCCCACTCTAGGAAAAACACAGCTTAAACAAATGGTGCTGGAAAAACTAAATACATACATACAAAAAATTGAAGGCAGACCCTTATCTTATGCCATATTCAAAAATTAACTCAAAATGGATTAAAGACCTAAATTTAAGATAAAAATTTATAAAGTTCCTGTAAAAGTAATTCAGGGGCTTTATATGGTGATGCACAACTGTAATTCCAGCTTCTTGAGAGGCTATTGCAGGAGGATTGTAAGTTTGAAGCCAGCCTTGGCAATTTAGTGAGATGCTGTCTCAAAAAATAAAAGTAGCTGGTGATATAGTTCTGAGGTAGAGTGCCCCTGGGTTCAATCCCCAATACTACACACACACACACACACACACACACACACACATACACACACACACACACATGACATAAGGGAAAAGCTATATTGCCATTGATTTCTTACATATGATACAAAAAAAAGACAAAAAAGAAATAAGATCAATGGGAAATGGGACAGATGGGAACACATCAAACTTAAAAATGTGTGTCTAAGTACAATCAAAACAATGTAAAGGCAACCTATGGAACTGGAGAAAATGTTTGCAAATCATGTATCTCCTATATTATTACCCAGGACATAGAAATAACCCCAATAATTCAACAACAAAATCAAATGACCTGATTAAAAATAGGCAAAGGGCTTGAACAGACATTTCTCCAAAGAAGATACACATAATTGTTAGGGTTGTCACCATTTAGAGTAAAACAGAAAATAACAAGTGTTAGCAAGGATGGAGAAAAACTGGAACCCACTGTTGGTGGACTGTTAAAAAGTGCAACCACTATGGAAAACTGGAGGAAGTTTCCTCAAATTTTTAAAAATAGAATTAGCATACGATCCAGCAATCCCACTTGTGGGTAAATAAACAAAAGACTTAAAGCAGAGTGTCAAAGGGATGTTTGTACAACCATGTTGACAGCAGCATTATTCATAACAGCCAAGAGGTGAAAGCAAACCAGATGTCCATCATCTAAGGAATGGATAAACAACATATGGTGATCTTTAATGGAATATTATTCAGGCTTTTTTAAAAGGCAGGAAATTCTGTCACATACTATAACAGATTAACCTTGAGGACATTATGTTAAGTGACCTATGCCACTCCAGAGACAATATTGTATGATTCCACTGATGTGAGGTTATATAAAATAATCAAATTCATAGAAACAGAAGTAGAATGATGGTTGCCAGGGGGAATGGGGAGTTGCTGTTTAACGGGCACAGAATTTAATTTTTGTAAGCTGATTTATTGTAGAGATAAGCTAGACAATAATGTGAATATATTGAGCATTACCAAACCATATACTTAAAATGGTTAATATGGCTCACTGTGTGTTACGTATTTTTTACCACAATAAAAAAAATGTGGTAAATTGTCACTTATACTACAGGCTCAGAGCTGCAGTCCAAATTCTAGTAATGAATCATGTACCACATTATAGCACAGATGAGATTTTAAATATGGTGGAAATATAAGCCACCATTAACCTCAATAAGCCTCCCACAATTTTGTCTGGTTTTGAAAATCAAGAAAGAAAATTCAGAGAGAATAGGAAAAGTTCATAAATGTGAAAAAAGCTTTTTTCCTGAAGATTTTTTCCCTGAATCTTTTATGTTTCTTCTGATTGTGCCTTAGTTAATTATGAAAATAGATTAGAAAGCTAATCATTTTAACTTTTAATAAATAAGGAAAACAATTTTCTTTTCCTTCCACTAAATAAATTAGCCTGCCAGGAGTGCCCGCACGTCTCTGTGTTGTCCTACCCTGAGGAATTTTCTTGGTAATTCTTTCGCCCCATTCAATAAACTTTTGCTGAGTACTTACTATATTCCAGGCATTGTTTTTAGGTACTGGGGCAGATATAAACAACAGAATTTGGGGCCTTGAACATCTCATATTCCCAGAACAACTGATCTTTGTTGACCAGGTTATAAACTTCCAGTAAATGAATTGCTGTCCCAGGTTGTTTTCCATCTCAGATGCGATGCAGGTGGTCTGAGACCTCTGTATTCAAGGCCAATTACTCAAGAATTGGGATATACCTACATACAAAGTTTCTTCTTAAACATTTAGGATCTAAAACTTGTTTTAAGAAATTTATGATGAATGAGGAAAAGAAGGGTATGAACAGCACAAAATGACTTATGTATAAACAAATAAAATAGAATAATAATACATAAAACATAGGTGTAGCAAACTGAAGTAAATGGCTTTTATAAAATCACAGGTTTGGGATATATTTAAAATTGTAGACCAAGAGAGTTCAACTAAAAATTTAACCTAGTAATAAATGCCAATTACTTTATTTAAAGACAGATAATTCCAAAGTTGGATATAAAACAAAATCCTGGCTCCGAGAGTTAAATTACCATAAGCAAGTATCATAAATGATGGAGAAATGAGGACAGAACTGACATAATAATATTAATAATTAACCTGTCCAAGACTACACAAATAGAAAATGGCAGAACTACCTCTAGAGGCCTAAGTCATCATACTCTATGTCTGGTGTCAATTCCATCATCAGTAGTTTTCTTCTCCATCATGTGACACCATTTGCCCCACCTACCTCAAAGGATCTATGAGAAGAAAAATAAAATGACTTGTAAAGGAAGGAATCAAAAAGTACACATCTTCTCCATCATGAGACGAAAATCACAAGGAAGGGATTAGGACAAAACTCTCTCAGTGGACTAACAGAAATATTCTGGAAGAACACAATTTGTATCCTATTTCTAAAATGGTAATAAATCAGGATATATCATCTTTTCCCCTATTTCAGTGATATTTATAAATTCAGAAAATTCCCTAGGTTTTTACCTCTTCTGTCTCAATGCAGTTTATTGATGGTTATCTTTGTTTTGCTGCGTGTTACTTTTGAAAAGAAATGTTGAGTAACATGTTTTGCAGTCTGTACAATGTAGGACTTTAATGACTGCTCATGAGTCATGTCTGTAATGCTAATTCTAAAAGGAAATCTTGTCAAAAAGAAAAAGAACCTGCATTTCCAAGAAAACGCTATTACACTAGATGTGGCCCCACTTCATTTTCTTCCTTGCCCAAGGATGTGTACATGCTTTTTATTTTATTTTATTTTTTAAAGAGACATCCAATTTTCTTCCTTAAACTTGGATTTCCCTTCCTTTTATTTCCAGCCTAAAAATTCAATGCAAAGGCTGGCTTCAGTAAGAGAAAAATCTAGACTGATAGTGTTACCCAGATACTTTAAAATGATTAAACAAGGCTTCATTGTTAAATTGAAGTGTAATTACAAAGAGGAATCAGTATATTGAGTATCTATTCTACCCCAAATAGACTATAAATGCAGGATACTCTGAAAAAGGATGTGGAAGGACCAAACCTAAAGGAAATTAAGATTTATTATAAAGCTATGATAATCGTAATAACTAAAAATGTAATTATAGAATTTACACAGTATCAAATTTGGACAAAGCTTAGCAAATAGACCAGGGATTTTATTTTTCAACAATATGCTAAAATATAAAACTTGATTAAAAAAAAAGAATCAAGACACCCCAGGAACTATCAACAGCTCCTGAGTGGAAATATTTGCAATAGTTACACAAATTATAACAGATTATTACCTAAAATATATAAAATACTTCTATCAGCCCTTCCCCCCAAAAAAGACAATCTTACAGAAAAAAAAGAGCAGAGATATGAACAGGCAATTGCCAGAAGAGTCAATGTGAATGGCCCAAAACGCAAGCATTACTTAGATAAGAAAAAAGTTATCAAAGTAAGTAGATGAGAAAAAAAAATGAAGGAAAATTTTAAGACAGAAGAGTGGACTCGGGGTGGGAGGTTGCCTCAGGCCCTCGGTTCAATCCCCAACACTACAAAATAACAAGAATGAAAAAAAAAAAAAGCCACAGAAGAATGTTAAAGTATTGGGGTGGTGGGTTGGTAATTAACCCCCCTCAGTTTTTTGTAAACTTTCTGGAAGTTTCTTACATTAATATTATTGCTTAAGAATAATGAAGCCAACACTGATGTGAAAATCCACCACTGCAAAGAACATGAATTTCATTTGCTACTCCTGTTTCCCTCCTCTCTGTTCCTTTCTACAAGAGTAGACATATTTCCCCACATCTCTCTGGGGGAACCTCTTGGTGACCTTGTGTACCAATCAAAAGTCCAGTGAGCACACTGAGGAGCTGGTGCCAAACTGCCATCAGAGTCTCTCTGACTTCCCCACTAATCGCTCCCTGTGCTATAAAAAGATGTGATGGGAGAATGAGGTCCCAGCCAGCCCTCCCACCAACTGCCTGGCCACAAGGTCTCCACAGGACCTCCTTGAATTTCCAATTCCTCAAACATAAGAGGAGGAGTATCTACTAGTGATGGTCTCTAAGGTTCCCTTGTTCAAACTTTCTGATTCTAGGTGCAGAGAGAAAAAATAAAGCTAGCAATAACTAAGAGAGGCTTGGGAACCCACACACTTATACCTACAAAGAGACAAAACACCCAAAGGATATGAAAGTCATGATTCCATGTGGACTGACTATTTGGATTTCGCTAACTGCCTCCACTCACTTTATAGTCTCTATTCACATCACTGAGCTGCCAATAATTATTAGGGAGGCCCATTCGCTTGTATTCTTCACTGAGATCGATCTGCATCCAACCTTGTTCTCTTTCTTCTTTATCCAGCTTGGGGTTGAATGAAAAGCAGTATAACTCCTCATATTTCACTGCAAGAAAAGGGAGAATAAGCCAAATCAAGCTGAGTCAAAGCCAGAACCAAATCTCCCCAAAAACATTCTGTCCCAGCTAGAGCTCACCATCTCACCCCTGGCACAATCCCAGAAGCACCCTCTGTGACCAGGGTCACCCAGCTCCTCCTCCTGACAAGGTCTTGGGGCATCTGGACTCAACTTTGCAAGAGCTTCTTTCCTTTTAGAAAACAGGGCTTTTTCTCCCTGTGTTTCCCCCCACCCACCCACCTAGTTGCTTTAAAAGTGAATATTTTTTTCCAAACCACATAAAATATGAAGCATAAAAATAATGAAGAATGTGTGTGTTCTTTAGACATCAATAATTCAAGATATATATCTCAATTTGGGGTTTGGAGTAGCCTCTCAGAGGTAGAAAGGAGGCCAGGCCACTTCCACATTTTGATGCTCACAATACTAAAAATTAAAAAACAAAACAGTTGGAAAAGCTGTTTATGTTTAAAAACACTTGAACATATAATAACTACTTAAATATAACTTTACTGCTCATATCGATAAAATTCATAATAAGATATCAATGTGTAAGACACAGTGGTCTGGTCATGGAGTCAAAGGATGTACCACCAAAGTCTTTTCTCAAATTTTTCATGGTATTTCTGTCTTTATATATTGCCTTTTATGCTTGTGAGGCCAAGCCCAATGACCACATTGTTTTTCTTTTTGCAATAAAATTTAGGATTTGGTTTTCTTCCTCGATTCTTGCCATAAAAGGAAAGTGTCCAGGCCAGCACTGTCCATCAGAAATACAATGCAAGCCACATATGTTATTAAAATTGTCCTTGCAGCCACACTTTAAGAAGTTAAAAAAACGAAATTAATTTAGTAATATTATTACTAAATAATATTATTACTAAATATTATCATTTCAATATGTACATGATGCAAAGTATATTAATATTTATACATTTCATTTTCTACCATCTTTGAAATTCCATGTGTATTTTATATTGAATGACACGTCTCAGTTCAGATTCAGTCACATTTTAAGCACTAATCAGCCAGTCACATGTGACCAGTGGCTACCATATTGGACAGTTCAGACCTAAACATTACTAATAATAATTAATGAAGTCCTTGTTTGTTCTAGATTCTGCCCTAATAAATGTGTTGATCCAGTTAGTAAGCACTGTGGTGGTTTTACAGATGAGAATGAGAGGCAAAGAAGTTTGAGAAACATTCCTTTACACAGGGCCACAAGGCTAATGGGTGAGAAATGAAGACTGAAATGAGGCTATCTGGTTGCAGACTGTAGGCTCCGGACCACGGCACACACGCTCCTCCAATGCAGATCCTTCTTTGCTCTTCCCATACTTTCCTTGTTTCATGCCCCTAGTCTTCCTGTTTCTCTCAAATAAATTTCTCCATTTTTGTATTTTTCCTACATCCTATTTATTCCTTCACTTGCTAATAGTCTTCAGTTAGCATAATTTTTTTTTAAAGGGAGAGAGAAAGAGAGAGAGAGAAAGAATTTTTATTTTTTTTATTTTATTTTTTTTTTTTAGTTTTCGGTGGACACAACATCTTTACTTTATTTGTATGTGGTGCTGAGGATCAAACCCAGCGCCCCGCGCATGCCAGGCGAGCGTGTTACCGCTTGAGCCACATCCCCAGCCCGAGTTAGCACAATTTAAAGCTCCTAGACACATGTATTTGGAGACCCTATAAATAATCTCACCACCAGCAAGAGGATGAGTTACACACGGGCCGTTTCAAACTCATGTTGGTTGCTGTTGAAGTGACTCATACACATGGAAGAAAGACATGGTCGTATTTTAAGTCATTACACACACACTTCTATGAATAAAAAGAACTTGACTGGATACCTTAGACTCTTTCAGTCTCTCTTGATGTCATCTTTCTAAATTTCAAAACTTGAAATACTGACTATTTGAACAAATAATAAAATACATACAGGTGCATGGACACATAAACACAGAGCAGACTCTTCCAGTAAAAATGGTTTCTTGTCAGCTTATTGGGAGACAGCATAAAAAAAAAAAAACTGAGATCCTGTTCTGGGAACAGCTGCTTCAACACTGACACATCTTTTCCATCTCTAACTACCATTTTCATGACTCAGGCTTCTGCTACCATAATGTTAACCACAAATGCAATTTGTTTAAGATGCCAAAAGAATCTCTTGAGAACACTACAGTTCCCTCTGAAGAAAGAGCTGATGAATATGGGGTAATAGTGGAAGTTAAGTTTTCTTGGTTAAATATTTACAAATAGGTTTAAAGGTAGAGAAAAACATTCTAGGATTCCTGATACTTCTCTGTGTATGGGCTGATGCCTGTTTCTATTCTACTGCAAAGAGGCAATAAAACTGTACATAACAAAAGCAAAATTAATTCATAACAGACATTAAAAATACTCTTAAGACATCAAGATCACTCTAAAGACATTAAAATGGGTTGACACTGAAATTAAAAATTTTCTTTTGGATATTTTTAAAGAAAAGGGTGATCAGCCAAACGTCAGGCCCAACTGAAATAAAATTCTATATGAAGGCAGAAAAAACTCCCTTTTTGTAAGTCAAAGCTCAGTCTTGTTAAAGTGGGCAGCTTCTTGTTAAAATGCCCAGAAGAAAACAGGACTATCTGCTCTGAAAAATTAAAAGTATATTAACACAAATGTAAATGTCACTGGATATATCCCACCTTGTAATTTTATGTTCCTCTACTCCCAGTTCCTAAAAAATACATAACAAAATCTTTAGCAAGCAGCAGGGAGGTAAGATCAAAAATTGAAGGCTAATTTTTGTTTGTTTGTTTCGGTTATAGACCTTTTAAAAAATTACATATTGACAAATTATAGTGGCATACAGTTATGAGGTACAGTGCCATGTTGAGATTTTTAAATATGACGTGGAATGATTAAATCAACCTAATTAACATATCCTAACCTCAAATATTTAACATTTTTTAATACTTATTTTTTAGTTGGACACGATATCTTTATTTATTTATTTTTATGTGGTGCTGCAGATTGAACCCAGGGCCTCACACATGCTAGGCGAGCACTCTACCGCTGAGCCACAACCCCAGTCCAAACATTTAACATTTTTATGATTAGAACATTTGACGCAATACTGAAATACACAATATTCAATTACTAGCTATGTTTGCCATGTTGTGCAATAGAGCTTTTTTTAAAAGTCAGGCTTATTCTTCCCATCTTGGTGAAAGGAGAGTGCAGACATTTCTTCAACATATTGACTTCAGATCTTTTGGATAAATACTCAGAAGCAGAACTGCTGTATCATGTGGTAGTTCTATTTTTAATTTTTTGAAGACTCTCCATATCATTTTCCATAATGGCTGTAATAATCTACATTCCCACCCACAGTGTATGAGAGTTTTTTTTTCCACCACATCCTTACTAGCATGAAAGAATTATCATCCATCTTTTTTATATTAGCCACTCTAGCAAGTGTGAGGAGATCTCTCAATGTGGCTTTAATTGCTTCTCCCTAATGATTAGCAATGCTGAGAATTTTTCTTTATGTATCTATCCTCTTTTGAAAAATGTCTGTTTAGGCTCCTTGACCATTTCTTAATCAGATTATGTGTTTTCTTTCTTTAGAGTTCAGTTCCTTACATATTTTGGATACTAATCCCTTATTTTAAAAAATGGCTTGCAAATATTTCCTCCTGATCTTCACTGTTAAGTGTTTCTTTGTTGTGCAGAGCTGCTTTTCATTCTAGAAAAATCTTTAAACTTCATAGAATTTTAACTGAGGGAAAAATATTTGCCTACTCTATCTAGAAAAGTTCCATCCCTCAGTTGATTTGCCACTCTTAAAATACCTACTCTTAAAACATGTCTGATACTTCACTGTGTTTGCACATCACAAAGTCTGGAGTCTTTTGCTGTTAGGGACCAGCAGGTTCAAGAGGATGTGCCCTGAGGGCCGCATTCTAAGAGGCCCCATTACTGGAAGGGCACAGGAGTTCTTTCTTCCCATAAGAATGTTTGTGTAAATATGTCAAAATAGACTCTACTGTCATCTGAAACTGAAAAGAAGAGATAAAAATTTTTAAAAAGAGAAAATACTTTACATGCCTCTGGACTGAAGGAGTAAAATTCATGGGCAGCTTGAATTTTAAAATTAAAAAAAAAAATTTTTCAAAAAAAGTGTGTGGAAATAAAGATTCAGAAACCAAAATGACAATTGCTAACATGCTACATGAAATGAAAAGTGAATATCAGTTCAGCTGCATTTCTAGAATAGCCTAATCGGTGCTTCAGTCAAAAGCAGGACCTTCACCCAAACATAGAGATGCATGTTTTGACTGATGTTATTTCTGCACTGTTCATGGTGGTCTTCTTTAACCCATGGAAACATGTCACTACAATCCAGTTCCATCTCCATTGCTCTCATCAACATCCTTACTCTCAGATAATCTCACTCTAGAGAAGATGCAAGGAAGGCTTCTGGTGGAAAACTCTAGACTTGGAACTAGCAAGCCAGCAAATGGTGCCCCCATCACCTCCCACTCTCTGCTCCTTCCCTCCCATACAAATGAAAGGATGCTCATTCTGCCACCAGAAAGAGAGGGATGGGGAAGACAAAACATTAGGGAAGGAAGGGAAATCACCTAGCTTGATTCCCAGGTATTGGGAAAAGGTTATGAAAACAGAATATTTAGGGAAAAATATGGAAGAACAGCCTCTTATTAAAGACTAAATGAAAAAATCAGAAGGTAATTTAATATTAAAATCAAAAGTACTTTAAAATTGAAAGAAAAACAACACCATTTCAGCATGAGCAGAATGTGAAGGATGGGTAAGGAGGGCAAAGTTACAAGCTATATCAGAAGGACACAGAAATATGGGGGGTTTGGGGCTGGGGATGCGGCTCAAATGGTAGCATGTTTGCCTGGCATGTGCACGGTGCTGGGTTCGATCCTCAGCACCACATACAAATAAAGATGCTGTGTCTGCCGAAAACTAAAAAAAATAAATAAATATTAAAAAATTCTCTCTCTCTCTCTCTCTCTCTCTCTCTCTCTCTCTCTCTCTCTCTCTTCTCTCTCTCTTAAAAAAAAAGAAATAGAGGGTTTTAGTAACTCATGATAAACAAATTGCTCCAGATATTCTGCTGAATTCAAGAAACTAAAATAAATATAGTTGAAAGACCATCTGGAGTAAGGTGAAGCTAACACAACTTTTGTTGGATTTTGCATATTTAAAGTAAAAGTAAGGAGGATGCCTATTTTTAATTAAGCATTAGGACTACTGACACTAACACAGTAAAAAAGGACTACTAGACTCAGATTAGCATCATCAATAAGAAACTCCACTTTAAAGTCCATTTGAATATCAATGACTAAGAAGAAACATAAAAAGTTAAAATTAAGCAAATGAGACTACCTTAATTATGAGTTTTTTTAAAAATCATAATAAATAAACTGGGATGGGGGTGTAGATCAGAGCACAGCATGTGCTTTGCATGTGTGAGACCCTGGGTTCAATCCATAGCACAGGAAAAAAAAAGATTGCAGAGGAATTGGGAGTTGAGATGCTGAGATGAACTAGAAAGCTGTAATTTAGTAAAAATGGGAAAATAAACAAAAGAAATTATTTAAATGTTAAAGGGCCCACAAACACTAAAGAAGGAAAAATAATTGATATAAAAACAAACAGCAGAAAGCAAATTAGAAGCAAGAATTAAGAGAACATGGGAAAAACAGAAGCCCTTGAGAAACAGGGGTCTTTCAATCAGAAAACTTTATCTCCTTATTCATAATTGGATCTATGGGGTTTAACTTATTTTCTCATTTAGGTCACAACTTTTATTTTAACCTGTTTCTTTACTGAGAATTAAAGAGCTTACTGAATTTGGCCACATTATTTTGTATCAGAATCTTTCATAGCCCCTGACCAAATGCTTACCATTATTCTTACAAAAAGCAAAAAAAAAAAAAAAAAAAAATTAAAAAAAAAAAAAAAACAACCTCTCCCAATTTTTCAGTAATTTGATTTACCCTCATCCCAGAAATCCTAAGACTCTTGAGAGCTTTGCAAAGATCTCTTTCACTGTGATATACCCAGGGGAAGGAGAAGGGGAAGGGAAAGGGAAAGGGAGAGGGGAAGGGGAAGGGGAAGGGGAAGGTGCATTTTGGAACCTATCCTTAGAGGGTTCTGATGAACTACTCCTTCCCCAGGTTGAGAGTGGCCTTTTCATATCTGACCCCCTCTACCTCTCCTCATCTCCACCCAGTCTCAAAACACTGCTTCCAGGGGTGGAGCCAGTAATATGTCCTGACTTCAGCACTGCCTTTAATATAAATCTGTGAAACCGCCTTTAGTTCTATTTTATCTTCCCACACTTATTAAAGCACTGTGTGTTACATAAACTGACATTTCTAATGCCCATATTCAAACTGTTAGTGAGTCTTTTTAAATCCTCTCAGGTGATGGCTTTAACTCAATTAATTGCTATGCTTCCTTTTTTGGAAAAGGTAACCAGTCAGGTCTCTGGCTGCCTTTAATACCTAACTCCCAAAACATCACCTTTTAAGAAAAAGTACATATTTTTAAAAGCAGAGGAACAGAATGGTTTTCCTCCTTGTGGATCCTCGCAGTGAAAGTCCTGGCACTTTTCTGGCTCCGGGCCACAGCCCCCTCCACCGCTGTGATCTACTCTTCCAGCTGCTCAGCCCTTTCCCAGTTCTCTGGACTATTACTAAATCCCATTAATCCGGTCACAGCACATTTATTACCCAGTACATCCATTAATCAGTGACACAGAAGTTGCTGGCACACAATTCTCCTCGCATTCTCTGCTGCGTGCAACCTAATGTACATCTTCCCAGAACTTCTGTTCCAATTATAGTGCACCCTCCAAAAAGTTCAACTGCTTTTCTGGCTTACTCTGCATTTCTTTTCAACATACTTAGAGGAAAAGACCTCAACCAACTGCCTTTAAAGGGGAACAAAGCAAAGTCAAAATTACCAGATTTTGACAGCTTGTGCATGCATCATTTCCATTAAATATGGCTCTTAGCTACCTACAAATGATATGGTCATATCATAAGGATCTCAAGACCCCGCCAATGCCTTGAAAAGTTCACAAACTTCTTGTCCTGAATCAAAACGCATCTGGCAAAGTAAATAAGCACATATCCTATTTCCCTAATTGAGGACTGCTATATAACACTTTACTTCTAGATAAATGGTGTTTTTTCACAGTATTCTCTGAAGGAACCCAAAAGTTCCCTTAAGCAGAAGAATTTCATAGCTGACACAAGCCACAGAGAAACACAAAAAAACACTTCTGTAGAAGTAAGTAGTAAACTAAAGACCCCAATGTGACACACAGGCTAGAACAAGATTGTAAATGAAAGAAACTATTTTTCGAAAATAGACATTCCTCCCACCATATCTAAGGACGTTCTGTTTAAAAGAATCAACATATCCATACCCCAAATATTCACTGATGCTAACAAAAGTCTAGTTAGGTGCACCAACCTTGAAAAATATGTTTTACATCAAAAACCAAGGAAACCAAACCTTAAAATCCCTGAGAGGAGGAGGAATATACAAGAAGCATTTGGTTAACAATGCTGCAAAACAATTTATCAGTTCTGTCTTGGGCCCTCATTCAAGGTGGTTCAATTACCATAGTATATCAGAAGGACATAATTTTAAGATGATTTCATCCTAAAAGGAAAACACACAACCTCTACCAAGAAAATGTGAATACCAAGATTAATGAAAGAGGCCCATCAAGTAACAAACTCAGGAGAAACCCCCAAGGACAAGGAATTACATGGCAGGTGATCATTCAGACTTCTTGGCCTCAGCTAAGTACAAGGACGACATACAATTCCTAAAACAGTAGTATTCATAAAACTGAACAAATTCTTGCACATGGTTTGTGATTTGCTTAAGAGTGGGTCCATATTCAATGCCAAGTCCTCTGGCCTACCTGGCCGTGCAAGGCGTGTCAGAGAGATGTACACGTCATGGCAATCTCTTTCTTGTGGTATGATGAGCTGTATGATCTGAAAGTTCTTGCAGCGAATCAGAAGAGGACATCCAGTAGCAGCTGTTGCCTGTTTTTCAATGGTGGAAATCTGACTGTGAAGAATCTAGAAACCAAAAGTTATTTTGGATGCACTAAGCACAAATAACCAACAGATATGACAAGGACTAACACAGGTCTTTGAGCCACACAAATAAGAAACACAACCCAACCTTCAGCTAAGTCACCACCTGTGCCCAGATAACAAGAAATGAGATGTTCCAAGTGAGAACCAACTGTCTCAATTTAGCTTTTATATATATAAAGCTTTCTGATATCCAGCATAATTATTTTGAAACAAACTATTTAGCATACAATTGTGCACAACTTCAGGTAAGAGAACATTTGGTACTTAAATGTTGAATATGCTTAAGAGCTAAAATTAAATAAGGTCATGGGAAGTTAGTAAAATAAACTTTTTGCAATCAACAGAAGTTAGAGATGGCTCCACTGGGAGGTGCCACCATGCTCCTTAATTCCACATGGAACACTCAAGTTCAATAGCAAGTTGGGGTTGTTGTTTTCTGAGCTGTTGGTGGTCAGGCAAGCTGCAGAAGAAAGGATTTATTTTCGTTTTTAATTTTCTCTTACTTTCAAGTGACAAATCATAACTATGTACAGTATTAGGATACAATGTGATGTTCTGATGTATGTATACAATGAGGAATGATTAAATCAAGTTAATATACCCATCACCTTGCTTATCTATCATTTCTTTAGGGTGAGACAGTTGAAATTTGCTCTCTTAATTATTTTGAAAGATACATTATTACTGATTATAGTACCTCTCTGTGCAATAGACCTCAAAACCTACCTTTCCTAATTATTTGAAACTTTGTACCTTTGGTTAACAACCTTCCATTCCCTCCCTCCTTACCCGACTTCCAGCCTCTGGTGACCACTGTTCTGCTCTCTAAGGAAGAGATTTCACTGAAGAGAAATCATGCTAAAGTGCATTTCTCTGGTCTTTCAAGGTCCACACTATATCCTCCATGGCAGCACTTCATTCTCCAAGCTCCTGTCCACCCCACAGTGCCTGCCACCTCTGCAAAAATGTAACACTGTCCATGGAGTCTGGAAAGGGAGATATCTGCCATTCAGGGATTCTGGTCTGGTCATAATGTCAAGGTTAGACTACTGAATAAATTAAGAAATATCTCATATTTTTATTTTAAATAGCAGATGGGACTCTTCTCTAGATTTTCTTTTCAAAATTATCAGATAGACAGAAACAACCTAATAAAATGATTGAATGGCTGCACTATAGGATCCTGCAAATAATGTGTATATTACAAATTAAGCACTATGAAAATGCTGCATCTGGCATATCGACATTATTGAATATCTACTTGATGGTTATAATAACATGAAGCACTTGTACCTGCAGGCTATATCTTGGTTTGTCTTTACTGATGTCCAAGTGGTTAGTGTTAACAATGATTAAGTTGATTGGGTGGATATGACTCAGCAATAGAAAAGGACAAGGCACACATTCCAGAGACAGTCCTTTGAACATCCAGACCCCAACAGCCCCCACCTTACCCTGAGGAAAGAATTGAGGGTCACATTATTTTACTTCCAGCAACGGAAAATACGAAAAGCCAAAAAACAAGGAAAACATACCCATGTTTCTTTTCTTGCATCAGGTACATTTTCTACAAATATGACGTGAGTAGCTGTCAGATACAAAGTACCAAGGGCTGCTTTTTTAGAAGACATTCGATCAACCAACCGGACATTTTCAACCTAGAGAAACCAGTTTGATGGAAAGAGTTTTAGTGAAGCAAAAGGGCTATTCAGAAAATAGCAGAAAATCTCCCACTTACTGTAATGTAGAATTTTGAGAATTCCTACAGTAACAAAAACCAAAATGTGCCCCCTTATTTAGACTTCAATATGATAATGTATATAGACGATAAATATTCACCAATTACTAAAAGATGACTTTAAATGTACTACAAAGCATTTGTAGATTCTATCCTTTCTTTGAGGTTTAAAGAGGTCCAAGTTTTCATTTCATAGTAATTACACAAAAATTCTAATTTAAGGCAGAAAGTGTATGCAGTAAAGCTCTGAGATTACACAGTGACTATGCATGAACTACATTCTATGAAAAAGAAAATGATATGTGATCTCATGTGTTTCTAAAGTTGTAGAAATGTCCTTATGGTTGTTTGCTGTCATACAAACCATAGTAGGAAATACAAACATATATTTTGGGGAAAAAAAGTATCAGAGAACTGTATATAAAGAAACCCTACTTTATATACAGTTAAGATCCTCATATTCATTTAGGATAAAATCTTTTGAATGACAGAATTCTCATCATCGAGCTAAAAATTCAGTGGTTGCAAAAGATGCAAGCATTTTTCAAACATTCAGCTGTTTGTGTGGAGCAATGTCAAGGATGTGTGCCCTGGGATCATCCCAACATGAAATGCAATGGAAAGGTCAAGACAACCTTCACAGGACACCGGAAACTGAAACTGGAAATGCTGATAAAACAAGAGTTCTTTTATCAATTGAATTAATCATATTGTGAATATACCAATTAATTAGAAAGCTTTTATCATACACATTATTTATTATTTGAAACAAATAAAGATAAATCTTATTCTGGAAATATTTCTTTAATAATGATTTCAATTTTTTATATGGTTACAGAGCTGTTCCATGTCTCCATTTTTTTCCTTAATCTTCTTTTGGAATATATTTTCTTTATAAAGTATCTTCTATTTTCAAATTCTTAATATTTTTAAATCCTTCTCTGGGGTCAAACCTCTCCCTTTTCATCTCTTCTCTAATTCCTAATATTGTGAATTGTGCTTTTACCATTTTGTGATTAGACAGGTAAGGTCTTTTTCTTTAAAGCAAATAGGTCTTAAGTTATCGACTTTATAATTTTTCTCTTTTCTAATTTGTTAATTTCTGATTTTGATTGTTAATAAATGTTGTAACTTGCCTTTCTTGGGCATATTATATGGTTTTTGTTTATAAATCCCCAGATTTAATAGTTTGTTAATTTTCATTATGTTTGTTTAATAACAAAAGTTTTTAAATTCAAGCATTTTCCTCCAAGTAAATCTTTGGCTGCATCCTTTGAGTTTTGTTTGTATACTCATTCTTCAAGCTTTCTAAAAAATCTGTAATTGCAGTTTTTATTTCTTCTTTGACCCAAGAGTTTTTATGGAGAATATTTTTGAATTCCCACATGGTTGGATTTTTTTAATTTAAAATTTTGTTATTAAACATTCTATTTTGAACTAATTACAATAAATGATATTATTAAAGAGAACTGTGGAAGAGAAAAAATAAGGGGATATGTTATTTTTAGAACATTTTTTGGGGGAGAAAAACTCATTTGCATGCTAAAACTAAGCTAAATTAAGCGTAGGACCAGAGGTACTATACCAGTTAACATCTAAAAATAGAGTACAAATAAGTTTTTCCTGGACTTAGGGCTAATGAAACAAGACTTTTGGGGGATAATATATTGAATATAAAGGAATATTTTTGAACCAAAAGTATTTAGCATAAATTACTTTTTCCTACAGAAGTGACAGAAGCCATACCACTTAAATTATTTTTAGAAAATCGAGTAGAACAGAATAAGGTACACAGAAGTCAATAGATTGGAATACATAGTGGGAGTTTTCCATGTCTATTTGTTAACTTTGGATGCTGCTGCAGGAAAATTAAATTTCAAAATTTGGCAATGGTTCTCATAGGTCCCAGAGCTGTCAAAAGCAATTCTAAAGTTATGGAAGGAAAAAAGAAATGATTAAAAAAAAAAATGAGGGAAACACCAACAGCATGATTTCCCAGTGATGTGTAACAGCAAAAGAAATGAAGAGTAAAGATTAAAATTCTGTTACCTAATAAATTCTGTGAAGACAGAGAACAGTGTTCAGGGCTCTGTCATGGTACATACTAAGCCAGAGCAACTTAAAAATGAAATAAAACTCAGAGTTCCAGCACCACTCTGAAAACCCACTGGTTCCACGACTGCCTCATCACTGAGCTACCTAAATTCTATCTCATCTACATATGTAATAACTTACACAGCAATAAGGCTTCTTTCATATTTGGAGAGATAAGACTCAGGAAACTACCCATTTCTTGAGGCAAAGTTATTGTAGCTTAGCCACAAACTCCTGGGAACACGGCTTAAAACACACTAGATATGCATGCTCTGGGCAGGGCATTTAACCTACGTGAAGTTACATACATTTTTCACTTCCTGACATTTCTGACAATGAGATTCACATATGACTAATGTGATGTCACTGTGTCATTTAGTTGGCACTGCTTTTTTCTTTCTTGGTGGGACATAAAATCTGCTGCCTCTTACCATCACTGGTTTGCTGAAATGCAGTAAATTTATAGTCTTTGGCTTATAAATGATATTTGAGGCCATGGGACTGAAGGGAGAGTATGCAGAGTGGAAAGAGAAGAAATATGAAGAAATTCAGTGTTTAAAGGTCCCATAGAAGAGGAGGATCTGAAGAGCAAAGTTGACAAGAGTGGCCAGGAAGGGGGCCATTATGTTGCTGTCAGGGGGATGGCAGAGGGAATGCTTTGAAAGAGGGATTTTTTTTATGTCACATGGTGCTGAAAGATAGAGGAAGGCAAGAACTGTAAGTTGTCCATGAAACACACTAGCAACCTTAAAAGAAGTGGTCCTGCAAGCACCAGGATCAGAAGCCATAACCAAGAACCTGACGCACAAACTCACAGGCACTGAGAAGGTAAAGAGCTCCTCTATGCAGAAGTGAGGCTGTAGGGTACAAGGCCAAAGCACATTAAGAGCTTTTCAGAAGCAAATGGCAGATCAAGATGCTGTAGAGACAGAAGCCCAGCACCCACACTGTGATAAACACAGGAAATACACTGACTCCTTAGAGGGATCTCAAAGGAACACATTTTAAAGGATTAGAAAAAGGAGATAAGGATGATTGGGTAAGGATTTGTTTTCCTACTCATGGTAAAATCTCTTCCAACCCCATGAAGTTTCTCAGTTTTTAAAACTGGTCTTCAAGAAAACAGTGGAAGGACAAGTGTGAATAATATATTATGCTTACATCTTTTAAAATACCTTTATTTTGTGTATTTTTATATAGTGCTGAGGATCGAACCCAGGGCCTCACATGTGACAGGCGAATGCTCTACCATTGAGCCACAGCCCCGACCCCCATTATACTTACATTTTAACAATGTTGTATTCATTACCCTACAAAGTAAAAAAATAGAAGAAGAGAAACAATCGAATTTTCAGTAATTTAAATTGGGTTCTTTTCAAAGTTTTTATTAGATCATGCTTTATACGACTGCCTTCATAGTAGCCCACAAATATTATTATTCACAATAATGTTGTTATATGTTTAATGTTCCAGATATTTCACTCAGATTTCTCTTTTATCCAGAAGGTAACAATCATTTTTTTCTTTCTTATTAAATAACATATTTTAGAGTAAAAAAAATAAAAAATAAAACTGGTCTTCAAAAATTATGTACATATTGATTAAATGTTCAAAGATTCAGTAATATAGAAGGAAGAAAATCACCCCTAGGACCATAATTCAAATACAAGCACTGTTACTCTTTTAGAGTATTTTAAAAAATACCTATACCTTGTTTAAAGTGTTTTATTACATAGTAAAGTGCTAGAAGAAATAATCCCCAGGGATGAGATGGACAAGTATAATCTAATCTGTTAAGTCATTTGCTCTAAAGTAGCATCAATCCTTCCTTTGCCCTAATCATCCAAACAGCTGGTTATATACCAAAAAGCCTTCTTTGATAGTTTGTTGTTGTTTTTGTTGCTTTCTTTTTTTGGGGGGCGGGGGGTGCTCAGGGTGGAGGTAGAAAGGTTGTAATTCAGGAAAAGGCAGATTCCATTCTAGCTGTCATTGAATAGAGATGCACACACAAACGGATGGTAAAACAACCTGCCCCGTGTACTAAGCAGCAGATATTGCCAGAGAAGACTGCAAAAATGCAAGAAGCCATGGAAGCTGGCAGAAATTCTCAAGAGAACCTTTGACTTTGGAAGGTAAGAGAATGCGGGGTGTTCAAAATAACTCTACCAACATCTCACAGATCAGGCCAAACACAGTCTCTTGGTTTATGTAAAAATCCTCAAAATAACAACCAATATAAAAAAACAATAAATATTCTTAGAATATGTGCTTACTCTATGTCATACTTCATTCTATGGTTCTGCATCTCTGACCTTAGTTAATCCCCTATATCAGTTAGGTTCTTACATAAACCCCATTTCAAAGTTCCGTTTACAGACTTGACAAATTTCCTCAGCTCATGCAGGGAACAGGAAGCAAGGCTCAGTCTGTAGCTAAGGTTCATCTAACTCCAAACCCCAAGGTACTCATTCATCATGGTCTTTGAGGTCATTCTAGTACTGTTACTTAAAATTAATGTTTAGAATAATCAGCTGGCAATTATTTTAAGCAATCTTATACATGAAATTTGATTTTGAAAACACAATGCTTTAAGACAAAATTATATTGTAAAAATATATGCAAAACTGTTATCAGAATGCCATCCTTTGAGATAAACCCAAAGACAGAAACTTGGAAATAGGATATGAGAGCCCAAACACTGGCACAGACAGATTTTCAGGATTCTCAGAAGAAATAAAAGGGAACACTGAACATCTAATTCCATGGAACAAAATGCCTCTGTGTAGCACTGAGTTAGGTTCTGAAAAGAAAAACAAAGACAGAGTC